GTGCTGCCGCTGCTCCCTGGCCGGTCATTTCAGGTGACTTCTCCGGGGACCGGAAGGGAGCGGGCTCGGGTGAAGCGCGGCGGGGGCCTAGGTGGGCCGAGCCGAGCCGAGCGGGCGGGGAGGACGGGCAGCGCTGCATTCGGCCGCCGCTGGGGTCCCGCCGCGTCGCGATCCCGCCTAGTCCGCCCTGCCGACGGGCTCCCTGCTCGTCCTCCTTCCCTCGCCCAGGACCACGGGGGTCACGGGATGGACTGCGAGACCGGCTAGGCCCGGGATGGGTCGGTTACGGCGGGCTGAGACTTCCAAGTCGTGCCAAGTTGTAGCGACGGATTCCCGCGAAGGGCCTCCTTAAAAAAAAAAAAAATGTTACTTAATTTTTTTTTCTTTTTCTGATAACATAAGTTATTGGTTGACAGAAGGTAGGAAACTACGTTTAGCGTCGTGATCTGGTTACGAATAGGTTCTGACTTAAGATGTTGCTTATGATAAGTCAGTTTCTAGATATAGAGTAGAAATTTGAAAAAGTGTCACAGTTTTATACTCAGTGATGGGGAAAGTTTTTAAGGGGTGAGAAAGATAATACATTTAAAAAATAAAAGTGGATGTCTTTTATATGTCTAGCACAGTTGATCAGAACTTCAATTGCAAGGGAGAAAACCAAAGACACTAGAAATGGTTTTAACCCAGGGGTGAAATTTACACGTTTGAATGCTCCAGAATGATGATGCGGAACACTTATTTTGGGGGGGTAAGCTATGAAACTCTAATCAAGAGTTTTAAATTGGGGTTCATAGGATATAGGTGGTCTATGAACTTGGACCAAAAATATATTATTTTCACAACACTAGCATTTCCTTCAGTTAGGAGTATAAGTAACAAATCAAAGTAGTATTTATGATTGACATCAATGTAAATCACAAATATTTCCCTATCACATTAGTTGCAGATATCTAGAAATACTGTTTATGCTTAATGTTTCTTCAGAATTACAGTAATTACTATACATCAATGAATTGTTCTTTAATGCACATTTACTTGTATGTCAGGAGGTTTTTTTTAAAATACATTTTTTAGTTGTAGATGTACACAATACCTTTATTTTATTTTTTTATGTAGGGCTTAGGTTCGAACCCAGTGCCTCATACATGCTAGACAAGCACTCTAACACTGGGCCACAGCCCCAACCGCATGAGTTTGTTTTTTTTTTAAAATAACTATTTTAATGGTTTCCTTGTAAGTCCTATTAATGCTGTTATTCGGAGAAGAGGTCCTGAGGCTTTACCAAATTATGAAAGGGATGTAAGGCACAGAGAAAGTTCAGGACTTCTGTTGTACTAGCAATAAGCTAGGCTTGCCCAGTGAGTTTTGTGTGAGTCTCCAAATTCTGGATATTAAAAAATCAATAAAAAATAAAAAAGTATGTAATAGATTGCTTTTGTAACTTCAAGACAAATTGTCATCTACTTAATAAACAGGGTTTTAAGAGTATCAGACACATTTTGGAGAGTTGGAGAGAACTGGTTCCCCAATGAAAACTTGTTAAATTTAAACCCCTGAGAAACTAACATCACTTTTAGAAAATACTATCCCAAAGCCTTTTGACAACCTTTTGTATACAGCTGAACTCTTAAGGTGCCTGGTTGGGATTTATATCCTTTCCTCAAATACTAGGCAGTAAATACTATCTGCTTATCTTTGTGCACTGAAATTTTGAATAGGGGCTAAAAACAAAAAGCATGGGGCTACATTTTGGTCTTTTAAGAGAAAGGACAACAAGCCTGCAAGCTTTCTGCCTCTAAAAAAGAAAAAAGGTCACCTAAAACATTTTTTAGGAATGTTTCTCATTTACTAATGCTATCTTTGTGCAGATTCATCAGAAGCACATTTTATACAGATTGTGATAAACTACATTTTGAGATTTGTCTGATATTTGAATTGATATGTTTAGTGAGAGAACTGTCTACTAACCTAGTACTTCCTATTCTGGCAGATGATAATTGTGACTGCCTTTGTGACTTTAAAACTTCTTTTCATGTGTTAGTATTGATTTGGTAAAATTTAGAATTGTGCTTCCAAAGATTATAAAAATTGAGGTATTAAAGCATTTCATTTTAATTACTTAAAGAGATATTGCTACAATGTGGGGAAAGTCTTTTTGTTATCTAGATATTTTGCTTACACTACCCTTTTAAATTTGTTTTGAAACTTGGGACAGTAATGTTTCAAAAACCAAAAAATGGGAAGCTTCTAAAGTCTTCTTAGTTATCTTCTTTGATACTGAATGTTTTGGTAACTGTTGTTGTTTACTGTTGTTCTTTACTGTTTTCTAAATTTGATTACATATTTTTCAGTTTAACTGATGCCCCAAATAGAGGAAAAGTAGATTTTTATTACTCAAAGTAAATTCTGTTTTGTTTTTTTTTTTTGTACTTGGGATTGAACCTAGGGGCACTTAACCAGTAAGCTGCATCCCCAGCTCTTGTTTATATTTTATTTAGAGACAGGGTCTCGCTAGTTGTTTATGGCCTTGCTGGGTTGCTGTGACTGGCTTTGAACTTGTGATCCTCCTTCCGGCAGACTTTGTGTGCCTGGCCCACAAATTCTGGTCTTAAATAAAGTTTTCATAAAGTTGGAAAATCTAAGTAGAAATTAACATTGTTCATAGTATATGCATATACTATAAAACATGTACAGCAATACTAAATTTATAATGTAGGTTTTGATTATTTTTAGAAAGAATAGCTACTAATTGGCTTTTGATTCATTGTTGCTATATGTAAAATCAGCTAACCATAGTTTCATTTTATTTTCCTGTTGACTCAGGATTTTTCATGTCTCTATGAAACCACTATTTTGAAAGCTATCTTCTTTTTTTAGCTTTTGAAAGCTATCTTTTTTCTTGATTAACACTATTGAGTTATCAAATACCATGCAAGTTTATTACAAATAGTTGCCACACAGATAGATTACACCAGTGATAATAAGAAATCAAAACAAATTACTTATACTGTGTAAATTTAGGCAAGCTAATATATAGAAAACTTAAATAACATGAAATTTTGGCTCTTGTTAAGGGACCTGAGACAATGGGAAAAGAATATTATTATCTTCAATGAATTTCAGGGCAGCTGGATATCTACACACAAAAAAGGATGAAGTTAGGGGCTGGGGCTGGAGCTCCGTGGTAGAGCGCTTGCCTAGCACGTGCGAGACGATGGGTTCGATCCCCAGCACCGCATAAAAATAAATAAATAAATAAAGGTATTGTGTCAATTACAACTAAAAACATATTTAAAAAAAGATAGTTATATGTGTCTTACCCTGTGAACAAAACTAAAGTGGACAAAAGGTCTATTAGTAAGAACTACAATTTTAAAATGTAGGAATAAATATTTGTAACTAGATCAGGCGGCAGTTTTTTAGATATGCCACCAAAAGCATGGCAACCAAAAAATAAATTTAATTTGGTAAAAAATTTAAATTTATTCATTCAGAGGACATCATCAAGAAAGTAAAAGGGCAGGTCACAGAATGGGAGAAAATGTTTCCAAACTATCTGAAAAGGGATGTTTGTCCAGAATATATAAAAAACTTTTTTTTTAACAAAAAAACAGTTAAAAACAGGCAAAGGCTGGGTGCCATGGTACATACCTGTAATCCTAGCGACATAGGAGGCTGAGGCAGGAGGATAGCAAGTTCAGAGCCAACCTCAGCAAAAGTGAGGCGCTAAGCAACTCAGTGAAACCCTCTCCAAATAAAATACAAAATAGGTCAAGGGATATGGCTCAGTGGCTGAGTGCCCCTGAGTTCAATCCCTAATCCCCCCAAAACAAAAACAAAAAATGGGCAAAGGGTTTGAATAGATACTTTAATGAAAATATTCAAATGGAAAATAAGCACCTGAAAATATGCTTAACTTTAGTCACTAAGGAATGTAAATCCTAAAGGCAGCTGCTCTGGAGGCTGAGGGAGTGTTTTAAGTTTAAGGCCTATCTGGATAAAATAGCAAGACCCAATATTAAAAAATAAACAAAATTTGCAGTTGAGATGCCACTTCACAGAAACTAGGATAGTTAACTAAAAGACTTAATAGTGCTGGCAAGAATGAGGCAGTTCCTCAAGATGTTAATATAGATAGAGTAAATGGCCAAATTATTGCTGTATATTCTCTGTGAATATTCTTTAGAGAAATGAAAACTTGTCAATACAAAACCTTCAGTGAGTGTTCATCAAAACATTATTTATAATAGCAGAAAAGTGGAAAAAACCTGTGCGTTCAACAAATGATAACAAACAAAATGTAACATATCCATGTATAACATATCCATTGAATATTATTCAGTCTTCAAAAGAAATTTAAGTACTCATACATGCTCTAACATGAGTGAATCTTGGAAACGTGGTAAGTGAAAGAAGCTAGACACAAAAGGCAACATGTTTTGAGAATGGTCACATTGATAAGAGATTTCCAGAATGGGCAAATTCAGTAATTCAGAAAATAGTTTAGTGCTTGCTAGTGGCTGGGCAAAGGGGAAAAAGAGGATCATTGCTAATGAATGTACTATGTTAGGGGGATGATGGTTGCAAAACCTTGTGAATATATTGGAAATCATCAAATTGTACACCCTAAGGGTGAATTTTATGTATGAATTATAATTCATTGAAAGTCTTTTAAAATTTCTTTCTAGTGTTTCTTCTGTTTGCCTTAATGTAAGGCTTGATCAAGTAACCTATTGTCTTATGTTTTTGAGCTTTTGAAAGCTATCTTTTTTTTTTCTTGATTAACAAAAGCCCACCAGAGGGCATTTTATTTCTGATTGTCTTAAGCTCCTGATTTACTTTTCTAAATAAACTGATTGAGAGGACAAGTTCAGTGAAATGAAATATAGTTGCTTATAATAGTCTATATATAGAATTTATAGGTGAATAAAATTCTAAGGCTTGCCAGAAAAATAATTGCTTGAGACAGCTCGACTTAGAATATTAAATGCCCCCTAAAAATGAGTCCTGTAGAAACTGAGTTCTACTGTACCTTTAGGTGAAAGTAATTTGTAGTTTCATAAGTTATAGTTTATCCTTTTAGCATTTGAATATTACATATTAATTTCACAGCATTTATTTGTAGACTTAAAGTTATTATTTTCCAGGTTATATATATAGAGAGAAGTAACAGTGTTTGAGGTAGGGATGTCTGGGAGATTAAGGGAGAAGTCTGCATTTCCTTAGAATTGTGACCATTACAACAATAATGTTTATTTGGCCTGGGTAGCCAAAATGACTTTGTTCAGAAGCCTCCAACAGGAGCTGGACTTGTCCTTTGCACACACTTTGGAGAAGTATCAGGAACAGACCAAAGTAGAAAATACTCAGGTTTAGTGTAAACTCTAAGAAGCAGAAGCAGGCAAGACAGTAGATACATCTGGATCTGATCAGAGGCAGTAGTTAGAATGCTCTTGAAAGGGATGGATTGATCATAAAAGATACTTCCTTCCAGGGATAGTGTCCTTGCAGTGTGAGGAGGGGCTTTCTTTACTTGCCAGTCCAGAGGGTTATCTATTTTGGCAATGTAAGATGAGTCCAGATATTTAGGGGTAGACATTACTTTCTTTGGTTTAAGAAAGCTCTCATAGTATTTTAAGAACTCTGCCCCCACTGAAGGTAGATTGGGACCTCTGAGGGATACACAGAAGCAGACTTTGCTGTCTCCATCTAATTCTTTTCATTTGCCAACATCTTCTGGGATCAGTGAGTTGACCCTTAGTCTTGTGAAATAGCTGATCCATCTGTCATTTATCATTCGGGAAATACTAAGAAACATATCTACTCCTGGGTCTCAATACTTCCAGACATGATGACTATTGCTGACTGTATGAATATGGAAAATAATTTAGGAATTCTATTTCAAAATAATCCACAAAATAGTACAGCATTAACCATGTTCAAGGAATACTCCATTTATTGTGTGAACATGCCACAGTGCTAAAACTAGTTTCTAGAGAGGCAATTGGGAAATAAAGATTGGAGATCAACATTAAAATCATTCCTTATTTTTATATTTTCTTGATAATAAAAGTGTATAAACCTCTTTTACCGAATACCCAACTTGTAATATTTAACTACAGTAACTTTTCCTTAAAACATTTATGACTGTATATTTTAATGCATTCGCCTTTTAGTTAATGAGAAAAAGTAGAGAAACTAGTCATCATAGAAGATCTCAGAATTATAAAATCTCTAGTGTTGTGTCTTTGATCATTAAAGAGAGCTTCTTGAAAAAGCTTGCCTACAAAATAAACAGCTACTTAGAACTTCTGGCCTTCAAAGTAGGATAGGTTGACATACAGCTAAACTACTAATTTCAAAGCATTGTGAAACTATTAAGTATTTTATGGCTTAAATAAAATATGAGTAAAAAGTGACTTTTATGTCAAGGCTATATTGACACTCTCTCTCTCTCTCTCTCTCTCTCTCTCTCTCTCTTTTAAAGAAATTATAGTGACACTGAAACTGAAGGAGAGATTTTTAATTCCTTAGTGCAATATTTTGGTGATAATCTGGGGCAAAAAGTTAAAGCGATGCCATTAGTTGAAGAAACTTCTTTACTCGAAGATTCGTCAGTGACTTTGCCTGTGGTAATAATAGGTAAGTTGTTTCATTTTGTTGTTAAAAAGTTTTACTGCCCTTACTACTTTAATAAATCTGCAGTAAGGCAGTGCAAGTTCTTAGCATTATATTAAAAAGTAGTCTTATTTCAAAATGGCTAGTACAGAGAATTTTTAGTGTCCTTAACACAAAGAAATGATATATGTGTATGGTGATAGATATGTCAGTTACCCTGAGTTGATCAGTAGACATTGTATACGTGTGTTGAAATGCTGGAGTACCTCCATGAATATGTACAGTTAAACTATGTGTGAATTAGAAATAATTTTTAAAAATAGTTTTTAAGGAGAGTGGAAAAGATAATAAAGGAATTAGTTCTAATTTAAAACAATCTAAAGTTGTTTTATGTGTTAAAAAAAACTAATAATCAAATCTTTGAAGGAAGTAATCTGATGTTAGTGGCTATGTTAGAATTTAATACATTTCACTGGAGACCTGATAATGAGAATTCTATTAACTGTATAGTAGTGTCATGGTAGTGATAATAACCAATATTAGAGGTCTGAAGTGAGCATTCGGTATATATTATTAGATTATACCTTATAACCTTATTGCCCTCTAATGTTGGCAGGGGACACACATATAGGGAGAGACTCAAACAGTGATTTATACAAGTTAGTAACCCAATTTGTAATATTAATCCTTAATTGGTACATTGTAGTACGCTGATATTTATAATTCCCTTAACCATGACATTACTGTTGTATATCCTTTATGCCTTAATTCAGAGTTAGTAGGAAGGGAATTAAAGCTGTGTTCTCTGATTAACATATGGAGATACTGGGAAGTAAGGGAGGGAGATGGGCAGGAGAGCAAGATTGTTCTTCTATACTAGATTCTCCTCTAGGAAATAGATAACAGTATTTCCTATCCAAGATAGATCTCAGGGGCCAGATCCTGTATCTGACTTTTTCCCCTTTTATATCCAATCCTGATTTTTCATCCAGGATGACAAGGAACCGTATCTTTCAGAAAATTACCTTTATCTGCATCTGTCTACCCTATTCCTCCCAAAACAATCTATCCCTATTTGTCTTATCTAACCTATGAGTTGCTTACCCTAATGTACATAGTTCCACTACTATTTGGAGTAGCAATACCTGAGCATAGGTAAAGAGCTGATTTCCTTAATATATGTAAGGTTTTTATGTTCCTTTTATAACAACTTACCACAAACATGGGGCTTTAAACAATATAAATATATTATCTTATTGTTTGCTAGGTCAGAAGTTCAGAGCTGATCTTACTTGGCTAAAATTAAGGTGTCAGCAGGGCTGTGTTAAACTTTTTGAAGGCTGCAGGGAAGAATCGTCTCCTTGCCTTTTCCTGTTTCTAAAGGCTGGTCATATTACTTGCTTTTAAGCTCTCTCCTGCATCTTCAAAGCCAGTAATGTTTGCTTCAATGCTGGGCAGCCTGATTCTCTGTTTTTAAGGACTTGGGATGATTGTATTGGGCCTACCTATATGATCCAGGCTAGTCTCCATCACAAGGTCCTTAATTAAAAATAGTTTTGTTTTTTTGTTTTGTTTTTATGGTGGTGGTGATGGGGATTGAACCCAGGGCTTTGTGCATGACAGGCAAGCACTATACCAACTGGGCTAGATCCCCAGCCCCCAAAATGTATTCTTTTGCTAAGATACCATTAGAAAGTTTTGGGAGTTAGTACTGAGACATCTTTGGGATGGGGGTGCATTCTCCCTATTACACTGTATTTCTCTGAATTGCCTTTTTGTATTCTTTGCCTATTTACTTTTGAGTGTTGTACCTTTTTCTTTCAAGGAATTTAGTAACTTCTACTGGTTGTCTATTTTAATTAATAGACTTTTTTATTAGGGCATTTTCAGTTATAAAATAATTGAGCAGAAAATAAAGGGAATTCTCATATTCCCCTCTCTCTGCCTCATTTTCTCCTGTTATTAAAATTAGCATCTTGTATTGGTGTGATATGATCGCTATAGTTGAGGAATCAATTTTGGTACATTATTATTAACTAAAATGTTTAATCTACATGAGAGTTCACTCTGATAAGTAGTTCCATGGTTTAGCAGAGTGTATAATGTTATGTATCTACCATTACAGTATTTATAGAATAGTTTCACTGCCCTAAAAATCTATACTCCACTTATTCATACCTTTCCTTCAACCCCCAATTACTAGAAAACATTGATCTTTCCATAGTCTTCCAGTTTTACCTTCTCTAAAATGTATATAGTTAGAATTGTAGAGTATATAGCCTTTTCAGACTGGTTTCTTTCACTTAACAATATATATTTATGGGTTCCTCCATGTCTTTTTGTGACTTGATACCTCACTTTTTTTTTATTACCAAATAATATTTTATTATATAGGGTACCACAGTTTGTTTATCTGTTTACCTTTTGAAGGATATCTTGTTTATTTCCAAATTTTGACAATTCTGAGTAAAGTAACATTTATATACAGGTATTTGCATATTTATAAGTTTTTAACTTATTGGGGAAAATACTTAGGAGTATGATTGCTGGGTCATATGTTAAAAGTACGGTTAGCTTTTTAAGAAACCGGCAAGCTATCTTCTTATGTAGCTATAAAATTTTGTATTCCCAGGAGCAGTAACAAGAATTCGGTTAATCCACGTCTTTGTTAGCATTTTCTTGGCCTTTGTTTTGCTTTTCAGCCTATTAGGTGTGTAGTGTTGTTTTAATTTTTAATTCCATAATCATGTATGGTGTTTAGCATCTTTTCATATGCTTATTTACCACCCATGTATTGCTTTTGGTAAAACATCTGATTAACTCTGCCTCCTTTTACACTGGTTCTTTTGGGGGGTTGGTGGAGGTTAGTTGTTAACTTTAAGTTTTAAAATCTGTGTGTATATTTTGAATGCAAGTCCTTTATCACAATGTATTTTCCAAATATTTTCTCCTAGTCTGTAACTTGTCTTTTCATTCTCTGAGCAGTGTCCTTTTTAAAAAATATTTATTTATTTATTTTAATTAGGTATATATGATATGACAGGGGAATGCATTTTGATTCATTGTACACAATTGCAGCACAACTTTTCATTTCTATGGTTGTACACAATGTAGTGTCACACCATAGGTGCAGTCATACATGTACCTAGGGTAATGATGCCCATCTCATTCTGCCATCTTTCCTGCCCCCATGTACCCTCCCTCACCTCTCTCCCATTTGAGAGCAGTGTCTTTTGCAGGGCAGAATTTTAAAATTTTAATCTTTTCATTTGCAGGCCTGATTTTTGGTGTTATATCTAAAAATTCATCATCAAATCTAAGGTCATCTAGATTTTCTTCTAAGTTGTCTTCTGGAAGTTTTATGGTTTTGTATTTCACATTTAGGTCTATGATACATTTGTAAATAATTTTTGTGAAAGATGTAAGGTCAGTATCTAGGTTTTTATGTTTGCATGAGAATGTCCAGTTGTTACAGCACCATTTGTTGAAATAACTGTCCTTTTTCCATTGGATTGCCTTTGTGCCCTTGTCGAAGATCATTGACTATATTTTGTGGGTTTATATTTGGGCTCTGTTTTGTTCCTTTCATATATTTGTTTATTCTTTCACCAGTTCTATACTGTTTACTGTAGCATTGTAGTAACACTTGAAGATGAATAATGTCAGTCCTTTAACTTTGTTGTTTTTCAAGATTGTGTTATCTCTTCTGGGTCTTCTACCTTTATATAAATTTTAGAATCAATTTTCTGAAATCTGTATAGTGCTGGTGATTTTTTTTTTTTTTTTTTTTTGGTGTGGGGGGTAGTTTGCATTGAATCAAGTTGAGAACTGACAACAATATCAAGTCCTCCTATCTGTGAACAGGGAGTATCTTTTCAACTTAAGTAACTGTTCTTTGATTTCTTTCATTAATTTTTGTTATTTTCCTCATGTAGATCTTATATGTATTTCAGTAGATGTATACCTATATATTTCTTCCTTTTTTGGTGTAAATGTAAATAGTGTTGTTTTTTTATTTTCAGATTATATGTGTTCATTGACCGAATATATGAAAATAGTTGACTTTTGCATACTGACCTGCATCCTTTAATCTTGCTGTCATTGTTTATTAGTTCCAGAATTTTTTTTTAATCAATTCTTTGGGATTGTTTACATAAATGTCATGTAATTGGCAAAAATGGATTTTTTTTCCTTCTCAATCTGTGTATCTTTTATTTTCCTTTCTTCTCTTATTATATTAGCTAGTACTTAGGTTATGGTGTTGAGCAAAAGTGGTGAGAAGGAACATCCTTGTCTTAATTCTGATCTTAGAGGGGAAGTATCTAGTTTCTTACTATTATGTCAGCTAAGGTTTTTTTGTTTGTTTATTTTGTATGTGGTACTGAGGATTGAAACCAGGGCCTCATGCATGTTAGGCAAGTGCTGTACAACAACAGCTATATCCCTTTTTATTTTTTATTTTAAGATGGAGTCTCACTAAGTTAATCAGACTGTCTACAAATATATGATCCTCCTGCCTTGTGGCCTTTGTGTATTAGGACTGCAGACATGTGCCACCACACCCAGTTTGTAGCATTATTATAGATGATGTTTATCATGTTGAGAAAATTCTCTGTTTTTTTTAATTATGAACAAATGTTTGATTTTTTCAAATGCTACTCTTGCTTGTGTCAATTAGCATGTGATTTTTTTTTGTCTCTGATTCAAGGAAATTAGCTTTTTGACTTCTGTTTGTCACTTATTTTTAATTTTTATCAAGTCAAATGGTTTATTTTTCTGTCTTTTGGGTTTTCTGTCATGCTTAAAGCTTTTCCATGCTAGCATTATATGTAGAAATATTACCTTTTTTTAGTATTTTTATGATTTTACTCTTTTTGCTTATGTCTTTAAGCATATTTTATTTGAATAAATGGACAAAAAATGATTTTTTTTTTCATGATGGCTAGCAGTTTTCTCTGTTGGATTAAAGTTTTGATAGAGATTCAAAATAGAAGTGGCAACCTAGGCTAACAGAGCTACATGAATGGAAGTAGTTCAGTGGGGTTCATCAAGAAAACCAATTTGGCTTTAATTAAAATATACATACCTATAGGAAGGCATTATTAATTGCTGATAATGGAAAGATGGTTGTGACCAGAATGTGGAAACATTGAATAGTCAGAAATAAGCAATATTGGTTTTAGAATAGAGGGATAACATAAGAGGACTATGTGTTACCAAACTTATGTGAATGCAATATGTCAAATGGAATAGGTAAATCTCAAGAAGGAGAAACAGAAGACTTTATTCCTCCTTGTGAAAGTACAGAAGTGATAATAGCAAAGACAACTGATGGAATATAGATGGAAAATAGGTTTAGAATCAGAATTTGATTAATTCAGGATTTTGCTAGTACCATACTTGGAGATGGGTGATGGAATTTAAAGCAAAGAGCATCTACATGAAGGGACTCCTGTTTGCTTTTGAATACATCATGTTTGTTACTAGTAGGTCAGTCAGGTGGAGTGAGGAAGTAGCATATGGAAATGTGGGATGTATCTGGGGGGAAGAAGTTCATCTAGAGAACTAATTTTGAGAATTAGTAGCATAAAGAACTGAAACTTTCAGTAGATGAGATTCCCAAAAGAAAATAGAGAGAAGCAAAGATCAGAATCTTTGAGACATCTTGTTTTGTGAGACAGCTTTAAGAGATTAGAGAAGAAAGAATAAGTGAGGGAGAAGAACCATCTTTGAAGTAGGAGGAAAGCCAAGTGACAAGAGTATTAATACACCTCTTTCTACCTTTTTCAAAATAGGAAATGGACCCTCAGGAATATGCCTTTCTTATATGTTATCAGGCTATAGACCATATTTATCATCAGAAACAATACACCCAAATACAATTTTACATAGTAAATTAGAAGAAGCAAGACATCTTTCCATTGTTGATCAGGTATTGTTTATTATGTCAATTTTAAAATTTTTTATGCTGATACAAATTAGTTTTATTTATATAAGCATTGTTTCTCAGTTAAAAATTCTTCATTCTAAATAAAACTTTGTTATTTTATTTTAGATTCATAAGTGTATTCTGTGGAGTTATATCTATATATGTCTACCTATTTTATGGAATTTATTAAAGCATAAGTTCCCAAATTGTGTTCTAGTGGAATTTTAATAGTTGCTGTATGCTCACATAAGTTTGAAAGTGCTGCTTTTTACATACAAAAGGCATCTTCAACTTTTCCAGTGTAAGGATCTGGTTAGCTTTGTGGAAACCTAAATTTTACCTGTATTATTTGACCAAAGAATCCATTAAGATCTCAAGGAACATCAGTATTCTATAATTCACTATCTGGGAAATGCTTAAGAGTAATGGCTTTTACTATAATTATCATGGTCATGACTTTTTTCAGACTCTGCCCTTTTTTTCCATTCAGGACTTAGAGTACTTGTCTGAAGGCCTTGAGGGCCGATCATCCAATCCAGTTGCAGTACTTTTTGACACACTTCTTCATCCAGATGCTGACTTTGGGTATGATTATCCATCCATTTTGCATTGGAAATTAGAGCAACATCATTATATCCCTCACTTAGTTCTTGGTAAAGGTCCACCTGGTGGAGCTTGGCATGTGAGTATATTGTTTTTAGCCTTTTCATGTACATGAATTATTATTTATTGTCCTGATGAAATCAATTTGATTCAAGCATTATGATAATAATACTGTTGTGTATGTTTACTGCATTTTTATCTGAGAAAAATTTTAATGCTCCTCAGTTTGGTTAAATATCAGTTAATTGCCTAAAGTAGTTAAGGCCAAATTTTTATTATTAATACAATCTTAGAACTAGCATTTTTCTGTAGTATCTTACAAGAATTATAAAGAAAACATTTCAGAAATGTTTTACATAGCAAAACTTATTCATTCATTTATTTTCAAGTTAACAATATCTCAACATCTTATTTCAAAACCAATATTTATTATTCCCAGACATTTTCAAGATAAAAATGAAAAAATATATTAAGAGAAACAAGTTGTATTAGTTTGTTCAGCTGCTATAACAAAAACTGGATGGCTTGAACAACAGGTATTTATTTATAGCTCACATTTTTGGAAGCTGCATAGTCCAAATTTAAGGTACTGGTTAATTTGGATCCTGGTAAGGGTTGTCTTCTTGGCTTTCAGGCACTTTCAGGCAGCCACCTACATTTTCACTGTGTCCTCACATGTATAGAGAGCAGTTGTTTCTTATAAAGCCATTAATTCTATTTAGAGGGACCTACCTTCATGACCTCACCTAAACATCATTAATCCCCAAAGGCCGCCTCTCTATATGACATCACATGGAAGATTAGGACTTCACCATAATAATTAGTGGTAGGGGGACAATTTAGTCCATAGCAGAGGTTAAACAAGAGAATCAATAAATTGAAGATTCATCCAATATATTTCATTAGGTAGGGGGCCAATTATTCTTCATTCTTATATCCCTAGTTAACACTATGTCTAGAATTGTCAAAATGTAATGAATGGTCATATGTTATACAAATAAATGTTAAATAATTTAGTTTGGCAGGGCGTGGTGGTGCACACCTATAATCCCAGTGGCTTGGAGGCTGAGACAGGAGAATTGTGAGTTCAAAGCCAGCCTCAGCAAAAGCAAGGTGCTAAGCAACTCAGTGAGACCCTGTTTCTAAATAAAATACAAAATAGGGCTGAGGATGTGGCTATTACAGCAGCTGCCCTTGAGTTTAATCCCTGGTTTTTACCAAAAAAAAATAAATAAATAAAAAATAATTTAATTTGTTGTATGAAATACAGATTTATGAGAACTTCAGCATGTTCAATAATCAAATATTTAATACAGATTTCAATTGGCTATTCCTATTAGTACAATGTTACACATCTAAAAAGTGGTTTACATTTGTTAAGTGACTATGTCAGGGTATTGATATATTCCTATATAATATATATGACTAATAACTTTTAAAATCTTAATTCTTTTTATAGTATTATGTAGAAACTGCCAAGCTATCTGTACCTTTTCATTTAAGATTTTTGTTTATTTTTAATATTAACTTTATTTAAGAATAGTTGATTTACAATGAGCTGCATTTATTTAGTGTATAATTTGATGATCTGTAACAAATGTCTATAACTGTGAAGCCACCAGTACAAGATATGAAAAAATTCTGTTACTTGCAAAGCTGTGTTTATATTTGCTCTATGAATAGTACTGTCTTAGTATTAGATTGCCTTCTCTAAATTCCTGAGATTTTATTGTATACTTAACTTTTTCTGCTTAAAAATACTGTGCAGGGAATAATTGATCTCTTTTTACTTCATTTCTTTTACTTTCATGTAGAAAAGTTAAAGTCTGGATAAACCATCATTTCTAAAAGCGTATTTTAGAAATTCCTTATCTTTTCTTCAGGAATATGTTAACTAGAATATCGATATAAATAGCTGGGATTTGAGCTGTGATACATTTGTCAAGGATACTTTTAATGAGGATTTCTGACTTTCCCAGGCATAATTATTTTTTCCCATCTGTCCATTCCATACCTTAATCTTAATCTTTCAGGGCTTGCCTATCATACTGTTGATGTGTTTGTGCTACTTTCCCTCTGCCATGTGCTCTGCACATCCTCGCTAGCCTTAGACATCTACCCTCTCTCATTCTTATCTCCATTTTGTGATCTGGTTTTTTACCACTCTCTTCTCTTCCAAGCTTTATAAACTGTGTCCTCTAGAACCTCAGTGATAAACCCTATATTCTTAACTATTTAAGTTATATGGTGCTCCTCCTCCCTTTCTTGAAAACTTGCTTTTTCCTAAAGATACCTTTCCCATTGCAGCCCTCTGAAGTGAAGCCTGTTCATTCTCCCACTGCCTCATGTTTTATCATTTTGCTGGTGAGGTTAGAGTTCTCTTTACTTCTCATTGCTCTTTTGTAAATTCCCACGTTCCTTTGAACAGGTCATCTTTTAGCTCCTTTACCTTTCCAAACTATATCCATTAATTACTCAATCTGTGACATCTGGCTCATGGTCTTTGATTATTATTTCTGAAATTTTATTATCACATTGAATGACTTTACATACAGGATGCAGAACCAGCATCTTAACCTCATAGTCCCTTCACTCCTCATTGCCAACAGTTTTTTATCTTTTTTCTATGGATCTTATCTCTTTCATAATCTCTCAATTTGTGAAACCAGTCCTCAAACATCTTATTTTCTAAACACAATTTCTGTTCTTACAGCTGCATCACTCAGTTACTTGCTCTGAACCTCAAAACCAGAGTGGTCCAGCCCTGAGCTTCACCTTCTTACCCAGTTTAGGTTCTACAGTCTACTGATTTAACTATTTTCCTTAGTTTATTTTCTTGGCCCATTGTCCTTCTATTAGATGAGTTCAGCAAAAAGGCAGTTCATCTAACTGTGTTTTTAATCTAAGCTGTTAAACCCCCTGGGGAAAAAAATCATACAACTCTGAAAAGTATTGTCTAGCCTCATTTGGGCCCTAAACACCTTTTGGTAGCATTTGGTGTTTCCTTGCCAAAGTTACTAAGTTCTTTTCAAACCCCTGTCTTTTTTGAGTTCTGTTTTATGCTTAGATGTGCTCTTGGTTCTTGTTTTATGGAGAAAATAGAATCAGTATTGAACCTCCACAGTTTCATAGTTTACCCTATATACTTACTTGTATTCATGCTTATTCTTTGGTTTTTTTTTTTTTGTCCCTGTTATAAGGAAAGACGTATCACTTCTCCTATCTAAGGGGCACCTACAACTATATCTGGACCCTTGTCGTCTTAAGGACAGTCTTTGATCTCCTCTATCTTCTTATATCATTAGTTCTCTGCCAGCTTTTATTGGTCAATATATAAATGTGCTAAAATTATTTCTGTCTTTAAAAAAAATTAGGTGTTTGCTTGTCTTATCCTTTCCTTTAACACATCTTGAAATGATTACCTGTACATACCATCTTCCATGCCTTTGCCTCCTGTTCCTTAGTTCCCTGACTGTAGCTTCTGTTTCTGGTTTTCCATAGGAACTATTCTTTCTGAAGGTCAATAATTTCCTTTTTTGCTTAACTTGATCTTCTCAAAATTTCCTGACATCTTGTTTTAGTCAGCCTTTTCACTGCAATGGTCATAAAACCTGACAAGAACAATTAAAAGAGGATAGCTTATTTGAGGGCTCATTGTTTCAGCGGTCTCAATCCATAGACAGCTGGCTCTATTCCTCAAGACATGAGATGAGGCAGAACATCATGGTGGAGGAGTGTAGCGGGAAACAGAAGCTGGAAGCATGGCACCAGGAAGCAGAGAGAGTGCATTTCCTTCATGGACAAAATATGTCTTTCCCTCAAAGACATGCTCCCATCGACCCATCTTCTTCAGCCACACCTTACCTGCCTTTGGTCACCGCTCAGTTATTCCCTATTGGGATTAATGCTCAGGTTAATGCTTTCATAACCCAATCATTTTGCCTCTAAATTTTCTTGCATTGTCTCACACATGAGCTTTTGGGGAATACCTCCCATACAAACCATAACAGATCTACTGCATATCTTTCTTATATTTTCTGAACCTTCAGTCTCCTTGATGTTCTTTCTCTTTGGTACTCCTTTTCAGTTACTTTTGTGGACTCTTATTCTTAAAACTGTGCTTCTGTGACCTCTATCCCAAGCCAAGGTCTTCTTATCATACTCTCTAGGTTATTTCATCTAGTCTAACGACTTGCATATGGATGCTGCTTGATTCTTAAATAAAAATCTCTAACCTATATTACTCTTTCTCCTACATCTAAGTTCTAACCCCCTTTTTTTATTCCAAAGGTGTCCTGAAACTCAGCATTCCTAAAATTTATCATCTTAATTATCTAATTTCTTTAATTTCCTTATGACTAAATGACACAGTCCTGTAGTTACTAAAACCAGAAACCTGAGAGTCTTCCTTAATGTCTCTTTCTTCAACTGCCACTTCAAATTTATCATAAAATCTTTTCCATTCTTTCTTTTCTTTTTTGGTACTGGGCATTCAACCCATCATCTCTTTTTTTTTAACTTTTTTTTTTTTTTTTTGAGAGAGTGACAGAGGAGAGAGAGAGAGAGAGAGAGAATTTTTAATATTTATTTTTTAGTTCTCGGCGGACACAACATCCTTGTTGGTATGTGGTGCTGAGGATCGAACCCAGGCCACACGCATGCCAGGCGAGCGCGCTACCGCTTGAGCCACATCCCCAGCCCAACCCATCATCTCTTGTATGTTAAGTATATACTGTACACTTAGCTGCACCCCCAGCCCTAACATTCTTTATCTCAGAGACATATTTTGAGTCTACCTACCGTGCTTCTCCCTATCATAATTGTAATTTTGCAAGTACTGGCTATCATTATCTTTTGCCCAAATTATTGCAAAATTCTTTCTAAATGCCTTTTCTACTCAGCTTGTCTTTTTCATTTTTTTTCTTAATACCAAAGACAGAGTTGTCTTACTAAAACACAATCTGAGATGTTATGCCATGGATAAAGCCATTAATTTCTCCCCCTTGGTCAGATGCATAGTATACAAACTTCCTGATATATTTTACCATATTCCATGTGATTTAACTCCTATTTAGCTTTTTTGTCTTATTCCCCACACTCTCATTCCATGTTTTGATATTTTCATGTTGCAGAATCCAATGTTCAGGCTCTGTGATGCAGTAGTGTTCACAGGACTCAGAAAATGGTTTACTCATGCTTACAGTTTATTGCATGAGTGGATATAGATTAGCATAGCAATGGGAAAAAGCTCATGGGGCGAAGTCAAGGAGAAACTAAGAGTATGCTTCTAGTAGAAACACATAGGGATGTGCTAAATCTCCCAACAGAACAGTGTGTGGCAACACATGTAGAGTTGCCAAGAAGGGAAACTCACTCATGCTTGGTGTCTAGGGATTTTTTATGGACCAACAGTCATATAGGCCAGCAGTGCCTGTGTGTCTGACCTCAGCCATCAGACCACTGCCTCCAGCACAAACACTGGTATTAACTGTAAATCATATCGTTAGGATAATTTTACATGGCCACACTGGTAGAATATGTCCAAGGCCTCAGGCGTGAAAAAAACAAAAACAATACTTTAGGGGCTCAGAGTAATCTCTTAAGAGGGAGTAGACAAGGCTGTGTCCAGAAGACAAGCCTTTCTTAATATATGAAGGGTTGGAATAACCCAAGTCTGCTAAATTTTATTTTTAGAAAGCTACTTAAGTTCTTTCTCATTAAGCTGTTACATAAATTTTTATTTTGCCTGGAATATTCTCCTTCTAATTGTGCACTCCTAGAAGCCCATTTGTATGTATCCTTGAAGAAATAAAATACTTTGCATATGTTCCTATATTGTACTTGTATCTGGTTTGCCTCCCATATTACACTACAGTCTCCATGAGAACAGACATTCATGCCTTATAGTTTGCATAGAACAAACAAACACTGATTGGTAGAAAAGTGAGATCAGAGAACTAGGTCTCTCAACAATGCTACTTCTCAACCTCTTGAAGGTTGAGTTCTGCACGAGGCAATTATGGCTCCAGAAAATCTCTGATTCAGTAAATTTTTAACAGTTCCTTTTAATGATGATTCATTTTCTTGATTCTGAACCTATTATCAAAGCCAGTCTGCCTCAAATCATGTGCATCTTGCCGCATTCTCTACCTGTAGTGGTGATCTGTATGCTGTCTCAGATAATGCACCATAGGCTTTGCACATGGTAAGTTAAAAAAATATAATATAGGCCCCACTCCCAGTTCTGGTCCTTATAAAAACAGGGTAAGAAGAATAATGATATCTAAAACAGTGGGATGAAAGAGATTATTGGTTATTGAGATAAGTGTTTTGACCCTTGGACATTTATTCCTTTGTATCAAGGAGAGCAGAAGTAAGTAGGTTCAGGAGCTTGAAGTGCTTACCTCTTTGATGACAGCATTAACTCCAGCAGTGAGTTTGTTTCTCAGGAAACCACTGCTTATTTTTCTAGTTGTAGTAAAAGATGTTGCTATATCCAAACCAATCTAGACTTCAGAATTAAAATTGATGGAGGGTAATTGATGGATTAGGTAGTTTTCTAATTTTTAAAAGGCTGTAAATGAGGTCTGGGCTCAGTGTAGAATGTTTGTCTGGCATATGGAGGCCCTAGGTTTGATCTATAGTACTGCCAAAACAAACAAAACAGTAAATAATGTTAAAATGGAAAAATATCTTAAGTTTTAGAAATTATTGAATATTTTTCTTTTTGTTAAAAACAGTGGAAATAGTGACTTATAACAGGTACATCTAAATTAACGTATCCATCATATGCCAAAGCTATCAACGTTAATATGTACACATGATTATCATATCAATTGTAAGCTAAAGCTATCAATATTGTGTAGACATTGGAGAATCCTCTAAATATGTTTATGGTTGTATAACTATATAAAAGAAGATATATAAATGGATAATACGAAATGATGAAAATATGTAAAAGTTATTGGAATGAAATTTTGGAGGCAATTTATACAAACATTTATGAGTACATTGAGGACAACATGTCTAGAGTCTGAATTATTATAAATGGAATTTTTAGCTTTTATAAAAATCCATGATATGTTTAATAGTGTTTTTTTTTTAAACTACTACTTTTTAATTTTAACAGAATATGGAAGGCTCCATGTTGACAATCAGCTTTGGGAACTGGATGGAGCTTCCTGGACTTAAATTTAAAGATTGGATATCTAGCAAACGAAGGTAATGATCAAACTATTTTTAAATTCTTTGTTGTAAAATGAAAAAGACTGGAAAAATTTCACAATATTTGTGATCCTGTCCTGGATGAATAATATAAATATAACTGTTTTTCAGATGAAAATATATCCTGGAAGCAGTAATTATGAGCTAGTTTCCTTTTAGAGATGTTATAAACTAAGCAGTAAGAAAGTGTTTATAGATTTTTTTTTAAAGTTTGTTAATCATGAATTTCTTTCCTGTTAAATCACTGTTTGGTTACTTTCTCAACTACCCACATATCATTTTCTACACTTTCAATCACTCATTTTTATGAGTGGATATATAACTTCATTTATTTATATCTTGTGTACATACCCAAAGTGTTTGATTTTCAGGGTAAAGAGTGTATATTGTATGATTGTCTATGTAGAATGATGGAATAATTCAGAATTTGGGATATGGTTGGCTACTTGGGCATGAAAGTCAGTCTTTAATTAAGAAAATATGAAAGTAGGAATAACTGAGAAAAAATATCATCTTGGAAGAATATAAATTTGTTTTATTTTGAGGGAAAGAATCCAAAAGTGAAAAAGGAAAAATATGGAAACACTATTGTTTTCACAGATGATAGATATTAGAGAGGAATTACCAATAAAGAGAATTTATTCCACTTTGACTATTAATGGAAATAAGTTAAAGCAGGAAGTTATTTAACCTTTGTTAGAATAGGAATGTGACATTTGAGTAATTATCTCCCTGATAGATAAGAATCATTTAATCCATATAAGTTTTCTTTCATTTGAAATTTAAGATGATCAGATTTAGAGCATGAGTAATTGAGATTAAACCTTTAAATTTATTTTTATTTTTTTTAAAGAGAGAGTGAGAGAGGAGGGGGAGAGAGAGAGAGAGAATTTTTTAATATTTATTTTTTAGTTTTTGGCGGACACAACATCTTCGTTTGTATGTGGTGCTGAGGATCGAACCCAGGCCGCAAGCATGCCAGGCGAGTGTGCTACCGCTTGAGCCACATCCCCAGCCCCTAAATCTTTAAATTTAAAAAAATTTAAATGAAAACCTTAAAGTTTCATTTTTAGGCTTTTTAAGATGGAATTATATATGGGTTTCAAACAAAGTTACAAAATCAGGCAGGTTATACCAAGTTCCCTATTTTTTAAAGTAAACAAATCAAATTGCTCAGTACATTCTCCCTTTGTAAAACAAGTAAGAGAAGGAGCTTTATGATTTTTTTAACAGAAACATTTATCTTTTTATATTGTGCATATTGTATCTTGAATTTTATGTGAAAGTTAGTCTTGTGATAAATATTAGCTTTAGCTCCTGCTCTTAGTGTTAAGAGCAGATTCGTGTCTCTTAAAAGATTGGCAGGGCTTGAGTCCTTCCCTTTTTTCTTTTTAGATACTGGAGATTGAACTTAAGGGCATTCCATTGAGCCACATCTCCAGCCCAAATTTGTATTTTTATTTAGAGACAGGATCTCACTGAGTTGTTAGTGCCTCATCTTTGCTGAGGCTGGCTTTGAACTCCATATCCTCCTGCCTCAGCCTCCCAAACTGCTGGGATTATGGATGTGTGACACTGCACCCTGCTTGACTTTAACTTCTAATGTAGTGGTCTCAGACAAATAACTTCAAGTAATTGTGAATTTTCTATTCTGCAAAGAATAGAAATAATAGGAGATAATAATAGTAACCATTTCATGGGTTTTCTGTAAATGTTAAGATTTAATGTATTCTAAATAAATTTTAGTAAACTTTAAAAAACTTTTATGAACTTCCGTTTACAAGTAATAGTGCATTATGTTTAATGATTTGGTTTGTTTTTACTGCTATCTATCTCTAATTTGGGCATAGTTGTTGGGAATATTTCTGACCATTTGTTTTACAAGCCAAGTGAAAAATGAAAGATGTACTAACATACATCTTTCATGAAGAACAGTTTATACTTTGAGTTCTCTTTCCGAGGAGGAAAACACATTGAGCAAAATATAATATCTTACTTGCTTAGATGTAAAATTATTTTGTACAGCAGAAGACAGATGAATTATTTTTGGTCTTTTAGAAAACTGTAACTTAAAAAAAAAAAAAAGTCAGATTGGGTGCCACGTGCCTGTAATCTCAGCATTACAGGAGACAGAAACAGGAAGATCACCAGTCAAAGCTAGCCGGAGCAGTTTAGCAAGGCCCTGTCTCAGAATAAAAAATAAATAGGCTGGGATGTGGCTCAATGGCTAAGCACCCCTGAGTTTAATACCTGGTACCTTAAAAAAAAATAAAAAATCATGGCAGGATGGTATTATATAAATCTTTCAAGAAGCATAGATATTACAGTTAGAACTGTAATTTCTTAGTGATTATAATCTATGTAATTCAGTTAACAGTTACACATTATAATTGAGATATAAAATAGTCTAATTTTCAGATATCCACATTTTAATTCCTTCATTTACTTAATAATATTAAGTTTATCAAACAATTTGAGCTGACACTATGAATGGCGCTGGAGGAAAAAAGATGCATTAATGTCCCTGCCCTCGTGTCTTCTTTTGTTGATAAAACTTATTCATTAAAAGTTTTTAATTAAAAACAAAAACATGCTTTCTTTATAAAGTTTTAGGATAAGTTTTAGCTAAGACAGTCCAGAATAACTAAAAAGATATAAATACTTACTAGAGAAATAATAAATGTGGCAACTTAAGAACTCTCTTCATAAGATATTTTTTCTTTTCTTTTTTTAGGAATCTAAAAGGGGATCGAGTTATGCCAGAGGAAATAGCTCGCTACTATAAACATTATGTAAAAGTCATGGGTCTTCAGAAGAATTTCAGAGAGAATACTTACATAACCTCTGTATCAAGACTCTACAGAGATCAGGATGAAAATGATAGTCAAGACTCAGATATTTCAACAAAGCATTTACAGACAGAGAAGTCAAAATTTATCAAGAGAAACTGGGAAATCAGAGGTTATCAGCGAATAGCAGATGGTTCTCATGTTCCCTTTTGCCTCTTTGCTGAGAATGTAGCTCTAGCAACTGGAACATTGGATTCTCCAGCTCATCTCGAAATTGAAGGGGAAGATTTTCCTTTCGTGTTTCATTCAATGCCTGAATTTGGAGCTGCTATAAGTAAAGGAAAGTTACATGGCAAAGTGGATCCAGTGTTAATTGTAGGTTCTGGGCTTACTGCAGCTGACGCAGTACTGTGTGCTTACAACAATAATATCCCCGTGATCCATGTTTTCCGCAGACGAGTAACTGATCCAAGCTTAATTTTCAAGCAGCTTCCCAAAAAGCTTTATCCTGAATATCATAAAGTCTATCATATGATGTGTACTCAGATATATTCTGCAGACTCAAATCTTTTGTCTGATTATACCAGTTTTCCTGAGCACCATGTGCTTTCCTTTAAGTCGGACATGAAATGCATTCTTCAAAGCATCTCTGGATTGAAGAAAATATTTAAGCTGTCTGCAGCAGTGGTATTGATAGGGTCTCATCCTAATCTTTCTTTCCTAAAGGAACAAGGATGTTACCTAGGCCATAATTCAAGCCAGCCAATCACATGTAAGGGTAATCCTGTGGAAATAGATGCATATACCTATGAATGTGTTAAAGAAGCCAACCTTTTTGCATTAGGCCCTTTGGTTGGAGACAATTTTGTTCGATTTTTAAAGGGAGGGGCATTGGGTGTTACACGCTGTTTAGCTACAAGACAGAAGAAAAAGCAGCATTTGATTGTTGAAAGAGGAGGAGAAGATGGGGTAGCTTAAAACAAGTTTACAAAGAATTTAAATGGACAGTTTACTATTAAAGATTTTTAATAGTGGTTTTGCAGTGTACTGGCCTGAATTTTCTGGACTTGAATTAACTGGAGGAGAGCCTCAAGCTATAGTAACTTCATTTTTATAACTACCACAACTTGGCTTACTGATTTATATTGTAATGTACCGGAGATGTCAGACAAATAGAAACACTGCCAACTTGGTAAATTTCAAACTTAACTAAAACATTCTTTTCTTCCAAGACTTATTTTTTTGTGATCATTTTGGGTTATTTATTTGATTGCAAAATATTACAGCCTGGAGTCCATAAAACCACACACTTGTTAGGCCAGACATTGTCCTAGTGAGGACATATTTGGGTCACTTTGCTGCTCCAAGGATGGTCCAAGGATCAGCAGCATCATCTTTATCTGTTGCTTGTTAGAAATGTACTGTTGGGCCCCACAATATACTTGCTTAATCAGAAATCAAGACATCGGTATGCTTATTAAAGGTTGAGAACACTGGCCTAAGTGAAAATGGGGATATAAAATATGTATACTAGGGCAGGGTAGGGGGAGGAGGCATTTTCAACTCAGGTTTTATTTATTTTGAAATTGTCAGTTTTATAAATAATTTATTACCAAATATGATGGTCTTTTAAAAATATTTTTATTATTGAATCCTTGATAGGTACTTCATTTTCTTAACTTCTAATAATTTAAACATTCCAATAATATTAGTAAGCACCTTGACATACAAGAACCCGCTGTGACATTTTTCAGGTTTATTCTCTACTTTTAATCATCGTAATATCTAATTAATCTGATTTATAATTCAATAAATTGTGGATGGAACTACTTATCTTTGTGTGAACATTGAGTAACTGATTTCTGTCACTGAAACTAAGATATTTGGATATGGTAAGAACTTCCTAAAATTGTAATACCATTTGGTTATTGTCAGGATCATTAAAGGTTAATTTGGAAAATGATTATTTTTTTATTCCCAAGGTGATTATTACTTTGACATCTCTAATAGTGTTTGTTCATTGGGTTTATCTGCTGTAGTAATCCTGATCTATATTTTTTGTGCACATGTCTGCATTTCCATACATTGCCAGAATTTTTAATGTTAGTTTTTTGAAGTTCTTGAAAAATTAAAATTTTTAGCCTTTTTTTTTTGGTACAATTATTTCATCTGAAATGTGCTCATTGAATTTCAGTTTTTCTTAGAATTAAAAATAATGCACTAATGTGTTCATATTTTTCTTTAAATTTTTTTTAGTTGTTGATGGACTTTTATTTTATTCATTTATTTATATGTGGTGCTGGGAATCGAACCCAGTACCTCACAAATGTGAGGCAAGTGCTCTACCACTGAGCTACAACCCCAGCCCCCTTTTTCTGTTTGTTTTATTGCAGTGCTATGTGCTTAGTTTACAGGATCATAATTTACCTTAAATGATTCAGAATATATTCACTTCTTCCAATTCATTGCTTCAGATGAATTCTTAGACTCTTGGTAATTGTCAAGTTTAACTTTATTTTATAACTGCAATCCAGTTTTAGTTCAGTATTTTGATGGTAACTTTTTCAAACTAATTTCACTCTTTATTGAAATAGTGTAACATCTTATGACAGCACGTGATTCAAAGTACTGTTGTGTTTGCTTGTTTTTGTTCTCTGAATGAGTTGGACTGGATAAATTTAAATGACTGTTATAAAGATGGTTTCTAGGGAAGGATGAGACCTGTAGACATCTCCTTACATCTCGGAAGGCTGCTTTAACTGAACCAATGACATTTTTGTAACTAGAGTATTCCTTTTCTAAAAAAGGATTCAGGGAAAGTAAAGCTTCAGTGAAGCCCTAAGTAAACCTGTTGGGTAATTTCATCTCTGACAATCTCCAGTTTCCCACCTCTCCCTCAATTCTAGCTGTCCTGTGCAACATATAACATGTAAATATTTTTTCTGATGTATTATATTGCTCTATTTTTAAACTTCATTGAATCTTTTTTTTTAAATATTCACATTTTTTTTTTTTTTAGTTAGAGGTGGACACAATATCTTTATTTTATTTCTATGTGTGTTGAGGATCAAAGCCAGTGTCTCACATGGGGTAGGTGAGCACTCTACCTCTGAACCACAACCCTACCCCCTAAACTTCATTAAATTCTTTTCCATAATTCCAGATCTCCTTACATTTCAGCATCAGCCAGGTATTAAAGGAAAAGAAAATTACTAAATACTTGAATAGATGTGAAATGATGTTAAGATGTTGTCTTTCCAAGTGCATCTTGGTATATGGCAAACAGTCCATAGTTGTTGAAAGAATATAATGCACAATCTATTGAAGATTTTTTAAAAATATATAAAATGATAAAAGTCAGATTTAGTTACAGCTTTCAGTGTCTTGGGTATGTGAACTCATCCAACTGTACTTTTTTTCAGAATCCAAGTTTTATCATGTAATATGTTTCCATGGCATCAAATTTTAGTTAGCAGATTTTTTAAAAACAAAGGTATTTTAAAGTATGTAAACAATAGGAAGTGGTGAAAAATTCAAAATAAACCCTATTATTAAATAAAAGCAAGTGCTGTTAAGTTTCACTTTCAGAAACTAGAAACCAGAATGAAATGAAATAAGACTGAATTTAAATGTCATTTTTATCATCTAATGTTTTTACAGGACTGCTTATTGCATAAAGCTGTTTTGACCACATTAGATCAAATAGTCTTTAAAAAACTCCGTTCTGTACATTCTTGGTGGGGGTAATGAACCTGGTCCCGAAGGTGAGCCTGAAGAGAGCATGTGGAAGAAGGATAAAACATCCTACTGATCCTGAATTAGCTCTCCACCCAGGTTATTCAAGAACAATGGTGTCTGAGGAAAAAAGCAGGGCAGATAGATACAGAATAAAACAAAAAAGAGAAGGAAAAATAACCTTCAATTTTAAAATTAGAACTAGCAAAATTACTTCCTGATTCCATTTATGGAATTATGATAGTCAACTATGAAAGTCTAATACATATAAAGCAGTATTTACAACATAGCGATTCAGGACCGATTCTTAAGAGAAATGAGATTTTCTTTCCCCCTTTAATTATCATGACCCTCTGCCTGTGGGCACTTTGCAAACTAAAACCCAAAGTAAAATGTGTGCAATTTGCTGAGCAGAGTACTGACTGGAGAGGAGAAAGCTACACAGAGAAGCTCCAGAAATTAACAGTGATTTCCGTACATCTGGTTCAGTACTACATAAACTGAGTGCAGAGTGGGAAACATGGAGCCAGGACCACATGGAGATTCTGGAGGTAGGTGGTTCTGGAAGACAGGAGTGCTGACCAGCCAAGGGAGACAGACTTTGCTGGACTCCCCCTCCCCCACAAGGCATTCAACTGAAAATGCTAAAAAGCCATGTCTTAAGGATAGGGTTACTGTAACCTTGCCTAAAACTTAAGCCTCAGCAAGATTTAGCAGATCTGACAATACATTAGCTACCTGCCAGCACAAAACATTCTTTAAAGGAAGATAAAATCCAGACACTGAACAATATCCAACATACAGTAAAATGTATGTCCACAATATCCAACATACAGTAAAATTATTAGGTGTGCAAACGAAAATGGGACAATCAACCAGTAGAAAAATTAAGCAATCAAAACAAACCTAGAGTTGATAGAGATGTTGGAAATAGCAGATAGGTCCTTTAAAAGTTGATATAAATATTAGAAAAGGTTGACAGTTACTGGAATCTCAAGTTTTTTAAAATGAAATTTTACAACTAAAAAAATCCTGAGCATAATGTAAAGGGCAATGCAAGAGATGATGTACATTAATGGTAGAGGTTAAAATCTTTCAATACTGAAGTACAGAGGTAAAAGGATTGAAAAACAATTAGCAGACAATGACTTAAGGGATAATCTCAGTGATTTAATGTTGAAATTCAGAGAGAAGATGAGAGATGAGTATCAAGAAACACTCTATAATGTTTTGAAGTGCAGAGATAAGAGCACAAAACTAACATTGTATATCCAGTGAAAATGTCCTTCCAAAGATGAAATAAAGACATACTTAAAACTGAGAAAATGTGAAACCAAGATGCCTGCTCTATAAGAAATGTTAAAGGAAATACTTCACATTGAAGGTCCATGATACCTAGTGAAACATTTATGTGAAAGGAAAGAGGAGTGCCAGAAATGGTAAATAGAAGTTTCTTTATTTTAAATCTAATTGTTAAAAAAGAAAAAGTTTAAACAGTTTAATAGATTTAAGAATTGAAGATTTATGATATATAGAAGATATCTGACAATTACAGAAAAAATTATAGGACATATACTTTATAAGGTATATACAGTATACATGAAGTGGTAGTTGATGATAAACTGTAATAAGAATGCATATCCTTATAGCAACTACTGAAAAAAAACAACTAAAAGGTCAACAGAGAAGATAAAATGGAATACTAAAAAGAAAGCAGAAAGGAAAAAAGAAAAACAGTCTAACAGTACAAAGAGAGAACAAGTGTGATAACAGACTCTAGCTGTACCATACCAATAATTAAAATGGATATATGTGGATTAAGCATCATCAATTTAAAGGCAAAGATCAGACTGAATAAAAAGGTCTCACTTAATTGTTTAGGGCCTTGCTAATTTGCTGACATTAGTTTTAAACTTGGCAATCCTCCTGCCTTAGCCTCCCCTGTCACTGGGGATTACAGGCCTGTGTCTCTGTGTCTGGCTGAATATAAACTTTCAACAATATGGAAGTAACAAGAGACTCATGTTAAAGAAACCCAATCCTTCAAAGGTAAAAGGATGGGAAAAGACACCATGCAAACAGTAATAAAGACTTAAAGAGAAATGTTACTAGAGAGAGGTGTTTCATAACAAAAGGTTTATTCGACTTGTATATGTAGCTTATTACTGATTTTTAAGATATATAAGCAAAACAAAAAAGTAAACTAAGAAGAAAAACTGATTAAATCCACAATCACGGAAGATGTTATTATTCCTGAGTAATAATAAAATCAGAAAAGATATAAGATTTCCAAAGCATTATCAACCACTGACTTGACAATTTTAGAACACCTACTTTCTAAGTTGTAGAATACACATAGAATATTCACTAACACAGAACAATCTTATTCTTCTCACAAACAAATTTCAAAATTTTTCAAAAGATTAAAAACTTACTGAATATAATCTTTGACTACAGTGGAATTTAATTTAGGAATAGAAACAAAATACCAATTAACTTACATTTTTTGATAGATGCGAAAATGTGTAAGCTACATGTGTAAATGAGAAAATCAGGGAAATTAGGACATTGTGAACTGAATATCAACAACAAAAAGTACAAATTTGTCACATTCAGCTAGAGCAGCGATAAGTGAAATTCATAGTTCTAATACTGATAATTAGAAGATAAGTTTAAAATCGATGATCTCCAAGGGCTAGAAAAATCAGTACTTGAGGGCTAAGGCTGTGTGGCTCAGTGGCAGAGCACTTGCCTAGCATGAGTGAGGCACTGGGTTTGATCCTTAGCACTGCATACAAAAAATAAATAAAGGCATGCTGTCCATCTACCACTACACAAATAAGTAAATAAATAAATAAATAGAATCAGCACATGAAACCCAAAGTAGAAGAAAGGAAATAACATGAATGAAATAAAACAAAATAACAATGAAATGTTTTTTGGAAAAACCCTAGCTAGACTGGGAAAAAAAAAAAAACCCCACACAAAAAGCTCTGATAACAAAAAAGAAAAAAGAGATAAAATTACATATCAAACAGACATGAAAATTTCAACAGGAATATTATGAATAACTATGCCCATAAATTTGATAACTTAAAGAATGAATAAGGCCCTTGAAAGACACAAACTGCCAAAAGAAATGGAAAATCTGAGGAACCAAGATTAGAATAACATGCTTAACATTGTTCTGATGGTTGTAACCAATGCAATAAGGTGAGAAAATGAAAA